ATATAGATATATAAATAAAGATAATATACAATAATATAAATATATAAATAAAGAGAATATGATAAAAAATACTAAAAAAGAAAATAAATGACAATGATTTACTCACTGGATTCTGCTTTTGAAAGACTAAGAATCATCTCCGGACTGCCTTTGCAATACAGGTCGTAATGATTCGCGCCCAATGTCCTGGTAATTACGCTCATTCTCTGAAGAGTTGACGTAAACGGGAACTGACGAACAATGCCTATTTCCAACGTCTGTTCGCCCAATTCTGTCGCGGAATCACCAAACGCGGCGTCGTGCAGATTGTTGAGAGATATATTATCGGCCACATCGGAAGACACGGAAGTTTGTCGGCTCAATGTACCGCAGTCGTTGGGCAGTTTTTTCAGTAGCTTAGAATTTCTCGACGGTTTAACGATTGTCGGAAAGAGCATCGAAAATTTCGATGTGTCAGAAACGTCAGGTTCCTCGAGCGTCCAACCGGTGGATTCGAACATTTTTAGATCGAGCGGATCTCCCACCAACTGATTATCGATTATAGTGATTCCGTGGCACGTAACCATCCCGATAAGGACTTCTGACAGCGGCAAACTAGTAATATCCTTAACTGGCAACTGAAACTTTTTATCTGAAACTGTCACCACGCCCCACATGTCCAAACCGTCTTCGGTCAGCGTTCCAGTTTTATCGAAGCAAACGCAATCAATAGATCCCGATACGTTGATCGTTCTCGGACTGGTGCAATATATCTTCTTTTTCTCTAATCTACGTTGAGCCACTAGGCGTCCTACCGTCATAGCAGCCGGCAGTGCCGGCGGTACTACAATAGTAATGAGATCTAATGCTTCCAGAGCAATGTGACCGGTCTGAACGCCTCTCATAGCTTTTGTAATAATAGTATAAATGACACCGATGCTTGCTATGCATGCTAATAATATGACAAACTTGTACGAATCCTGTTCGAACTTGAAATCCACGGGAGGGGGATACATTATGGATCGCACAAGGCCGCCTTTGCTGGTGTTGAAGCCTGTTCTGATGATCACTGCCAACACCTACGTTATCAAACACACAATTTGCGCGTATTTACAATTGTAAAAAAAAAAAAAATATCTATATAGAAAACACAATACGAAGCGCAATTGATAAGAGAGTATCCGAAACAAAAGAACAAACATCAATTAATCGGATTGAAATTTATTTATTATTCAATATAGTCGTCTTCTATCTCGACTAATCTGTATATCGGCTAGCGCTTCTCGGAAAGCACTTGTACCATTTTTACGATTTCTCGAGTTCTTCAAAATAGGTATTTATTTACAGCATCGATGACCTCATTGTCGAAAATTTTCTTCTAATGATCGTTTTTCAAAATTTCTAAAATAAATAAAAATCGCACGAAACACTGGCAGCGAATAAGACAGCAATTCAAAGCCCAACTTGCGGAGCCAAAATGTTGGCCATTGCAACAGTTAAAGTAAGAGCTCTCATATTTATAAAAATCACTGAGGACGTTTACCTTGGCAAACTGTCGCACAACTGAGTGATAATGAGCCAACGTTTGGCAACACTTCTGTAGGATAAAACTTGTCAATGACAACAACTTCGGATACTTCAACAATCGCCTCTCGTATTATACATTGAAAATTCAAAGATAAACTTACCTTCTCGCTGCCGTAGTATCTAGTTTGAATAACTCTGGTGCCGCAAAAGAGCGTGTGTCTGGCATGTTCTTTGGTATTATATATCACATCGTTGGAGGAAGGAATTGGGGTTTTCGTAACGGGTACGGATTCCCCGGTTAGCATCGACTCATTGAGAATACAATTGCCGGTAAGTAGCACAGCGTCGCATGGCATCAAGCACCCGTGAGACGGAATAACCAGAATGTCGCCGGGAACCAATTGTTCGGCCGGCACCGTCGCGGTTTCACCGGTCGTGCGATCTCGCATGACCGTGGCGACGTCAGACGAATGAACGGTCGAGCGCAGGTTACGCTGGTTCTGAGAAGAGCAAGATTAAATTAGACACGATTTTAAATTGTGATTGATCGCAAGACAAGTATCTCTTGGAACAGAACACGCGCGGGAAACATATATATAGACGAATTATGACTCACCCATCGGGTTTGGTTAACTGCCATCACAATTCCGGCGCCCGACATCAAGAAAATAACCATGGCGTAGTAATAATAGTCGTCCGCGAACCAAAGACAAAAGCTGAACAGTTGGAAGACGTAAAACGGATTGAGCACCTCTAGACAGAGCAACGTGAGCACGCTCTTCACTGGTATCACGATCTCATTGTTGCCGTAGACATTACGCCTGTTGAACATTATCACGCGAATCAACCAATTAGTTTTTTTTTACATTTGATGCGATGTATTAATATTCAAAGAATATGTTTTTCGAGTTTGTTAACCGCGTTGGTGTCATTTTTATACCGACGTTTCGCGAACATTTCAACTCACTTTCATCAGGGTTTCAACTCAGCAGCCTGATATCAATTAGTCTCTTTTTTTTTTGCGCGCGAATTGCTTAGAATTGATGTATCGCGTGACGCTTCTTTTGATTGAGAGAAAAAAAAACGAACGATAAGATGAATGACGTGTTCACCTCATGTACTGCTCCTGGGAAGTGAGACCTTGCGCCTGATGCAACGTGGACGTCAGAATGTCGGTATCGAGACCGCGCAGTTTCAAGAATTCCGATCTCTCCGGATCCCAGACGTAGGTCAGTTTCTTGCAGTTGAAGAAAGTTATAGACGATACATCTAGAAATATCTCGTGCCCGTTAATCACGTTCTATATTTGAAACGCACACGTATACAGTTTACTACTAACGATAATTCATCACTCACTTTTGAACTGACCGCCGCAAAGATGCACAGACAGCATCGGGTTGGTTTCTTTCTCCTCTTTTGTGGTCACCACAGTACCGTCCCACGGTTCGTCGATCAAAGATTCTTCGTTGAATGACTTATTACTGTTGAACAAAAAACAGCCATTAACTCAAATCGAATATCGCGTTATAACGTCGACTTTGTATCTTCAAATAAATCAAAAAAAGAAAGAAGTACTAACACAACTTCCTGAGCGGTTAAAACCTTTAGTTTCTTCACGTAATAACTCGTGTGCTTTCCCTGAAACTTTTCGATCAGCAAAACGGTTTCCGCCTTGTCCAAAGGACACTTGAAATGCGTGCAACGTAGCATGAAGTACGGTACCCAGTGGAAGATCAATCTCAAAGTACCTAAACTGAGGACAATAAAGATCCAGGTGATAACGACTTGCATGCGACTTCTGCTGTACCTGTAAAAAAAAAACAAAACAAAACAAAACAATGAGCGGAAAAATGAGCAGATTATTTCAACAGATTGCGCTCGAAGAAGATCGTTTTCGATCATAATGGCGTAATTGGATGCGAGCAGTCTTACCCGTAAATTTCCATCTGATCTTCTTCGCCGGGATTGATGTAGTCCACGCCATTCTTCAGATGCAAAAGACCGTTAGCTTTGGTACCTGAAACGATACCGTCGAAAGTGTTGTAACAAATAGCCATTCGCCGATCGCGACGCACGAACGTTCGTTCTCCAATCGCGGATTTCAATAGACTGACGCTTTCTCCGCATTCCGTATACAAGTTGGTTGTCAAAGGAGGTTTTATGTACGTACATTCGGTAATGTAACGCGTTGTGTCTATCGGTCTTTAATAGTTGCGACCGCGTCAAATTATTGAATCCGCGAAAAATAGAAAGTGCGCAGATATCGCCAATGATAATGGCGATATAATAGGCGCGATATAAAATAAAATAACGCGTTTGTTCTAACGGCAAACGTTTGTTTTTAATACATCAACAACCGCGGAATGACTTTGTCAGCGAGAAAAACACTGTTGTGCAACTTGGGGAAACAAACAAAAAAATTGATTTACTGCAGAAAAATAAGACGAGAATTTGTTTATCTTTTTCAATAATTGTCTGTTGAAATTTCTCGCTTGACAGCCAAACAAGTGAAGTAAAATCAAGCGAGATAGAAAGAAGATTTGAGCGCTGAAGCAAAAGGAGCCAGCCACTCTCGAAATCATGGAAAAGGTCAAATTCGAATTTTTTACACGATGGGAACGTGGCGAATAAATAAATGAAGAACAGTTGAATTGTTCCTTAAGATCCTACTGTAAATAGCCGCGAGCGAGTTTTCTCTTCTCGTCGTAACTTACCTTCCAGCAGTTCCGTCTTTTGCTCACGCTGGTGCTCATTCGCGGTGGTCGTGTTCCGGCCGCCAAAGACGCTGTAAGCGTTTCTGGCGAAGCTCAGATTTAACTTGCTCGGCGTAGGTGGCATTCTCGAAGCTCTCTCGAAAGAACGCGGATTCAACCGGATGTGTGATGAGAAGAAATCAAAGTACGACTGATGAAAACGACTCTCGAACTAATGACGTTTCCCCTTTCTGAGTTGATTGTTTATTCTTTGCGTTTGTTATTTTGTATTTTCTCTCTCTCTCTCTCTCTCTCTCTTTCTGTCTTTCTTTCTTTATCGTCCTTGACCGGGGAAAAACAATCGTCGTGACGATTTACAAACTTTCTGTTAGAATTTTCCCTCAACCCGCTTCCCGTATTTATATATATATATATATATACACATATATATATATATCTGTTGTCCTCTCACTATTACATGATATATATAGCACTAGCCTTAATATCTAATAAATTATATTATTGTCCGCGTGGCCGCTTCTCGAGGCCGCTTCCGGATATGCGACAAAGTTCCGTCACTCGGCGTGAATGAAAAGTTCAGCTGGGATGTAAGAGAAGAGGAAAGGAGAAAGAGATGCCGAAGACGGGGTCGGTATGTGTGGTGCGAGGTACGACGAGGCGCGGTGCCGTTTTGAAAACAGTTTTGTGCTTCTTCGGGACGTTAACCCCGTCTGCTACCGACACCGATTGCCCGCCATTTCGGGATCCCTCTTCAAGGTTCTCGCAGCGGGTCTCGGCAGCGCGTATTCCGGCATCTGGCCGGCATCGAACTGGCACAGACGGTACGACAACAACGATGACGATGACGATGATGATGATGATGTAAACGTAGCGGTCCTAGGAGCCGTCTCGCAGCAGCTGTGCCACAATGGACCGACTACGATCGTCAAAAGTGCGGCGGGAGATGAACGTGAATGCTGACGAGTAGCGAGTAGCGGCGGTAGCTGGTGCTATCGCTTCGGACCTGCTCTCGGCTTCCTGAATTCGTCGTGTCAGTCGCCGGGATCGGTGAGTTTTCGCCAGCCGATTCGTGGCGTGATAACAGCTCGTTCACTCTCGCTCATTCCGCGTTTCGAGCACACCGACAGGTCCGAAACGCCCCTGTCTGCGGAGCCGCCTCGTAACGGCCGCGGTTGCGGCTGCGGTGCTAACGCGTGATCGCGGTGACGGTTCGCCTTCGTCCCGCCTTTAGCCCTTGATGACGACGATCCGGGCACTCTGCGACCGCACGCGGCCGCTGCACCAGCTTTTACCGCCTCTCTTGTATGCTCGTACCTCCCTTGTGCTGCTCCTGGGCGCGATCGCAAATACATTACGGGTTATAGGAGTATCCGGGGTTGCCGTCGGGACGTCTCGATCGGCAGAAGAGAGAGTTGTTGATTATTCACAGACGGAGTTTTTTTTGCACACGCGCACCACGCTAAAGACTCTTCTCTCGTTCTTTGTAGCACACAACAATTTGTCTTTCGAGGAAAAAAGACAGTAATTACTTTTTAATTAGAGTTTAAGCTTAACACACGCTCGGTGTCGATTGACGTGAGCGAGTTAGTCCGAAACGTCGTTCTCTTCCCGATCGAACCGATCGATACGAGGAAAAAGTTGCGCCACGTTACGGAAGATAGTGCGTTTTAAGATTCCACGAATCAACACGGAATCTATTAATAGCCTTTACGATTACGTCACGATGTCTCGCGTTTTTTTTTCAAAAACGAGAGACTTCGATGATAAAGACACAAAGAAACAAATATTTTTTTTCAGGCACCGAGCAAAGATTTCACACTTTTAAAACACACAAATCGTCCCCGCGAGTGAAACGATGACTCTCTCTCCTTATATATTTTTTTCGCGCGATTCTTTCAGATGATTCGTTTAAACTCTTCACCCTCCTCGGGACTTCTAAGTACAGAGAACACGGTGCGATAGTTTGTGTCTAGCATCTTACTCATAGTGCCGGTAATATACGTCGCCGCTGGTGCGCAGTGATACGTCTCAATGCCGGTCACCCGCAAATTAGGAAACGGAAAAGAAAAAGCCACTCTCCTGCGAGAAGTCACTTTGCGAGCGGGGGTTTCTTCGGCACGGCACTCATTCGCGTGGTGATTATCCACCACTCTTAAATTAAGAGATCCTTTAGCCCCGAACGTTCGTTCTGCATCTGACAAACCCCGCGACAGGTTTCCCTGCGATTCGCAGCTGTTGCGAAGACAATTCGCAAAAACGTGTTCGCGCTAAGATGGCGGCGCAGCGCGCCGTTCTGCTTTCGGAGTTCAGCTTCGAAATCGCTGATTCCGTCCGGAGCTCTGATCACTGCGGCAGCGGCGATCCGCTCGTAATTGCTGACGAGTCGCTCCGTCGAACGATCGGACTTCCACCGGGAGACGAATTCTCACACTGTTCAACACGCGCGATGAAACACGCGAGATTAAAGAGCGCGATGTTTAGCCGGGTTTCACTTGCCACGGATGACGACCAACCTCTGAAAGCGAGCGAATCGAATAAATTGCTTGCTTGGCACGGCGACCGACCGACGAGGAAGACTTGCGCCCTGAGCTGTGGCAAGCTCTAACTGCAGGAACGTGCCTAGAAGAGGCGCTCTGCTGACGGGTATATAGAAATCGAACCTCGAGAGAGGGTTCAACGTACGTAGATGCCGCAACCGAGCATTAATGACCGTCCGACTGTCTTCGTTAATTTGCGCATGACACAAAAAAACACGGTCAATCCCGGTTTACAGACACCGGTTAGAGATAAAGTTTTATCTCTAACTCTTGCGTGTGTTCATTTTCTCAGCAAAAAATTGACCGCGCGATCAACTTACTTGATGGCTAAATACCGTCGTCGTACATAAAAAAAAAAAACATATCGTGTCGTTTGTAGAGCGGCAGAGCGTTTTCGATTACGTAAAACTGTGAGAGATTATAGACTGCGCGATTTAATAAAAAATCTATTGCAAAATAAATGTGACTTACATTTTGCGAGAGTTTATCGCTCAATCTTTATCGCTCCGGATATATTGTTGATCTTTCGTGACATATCATTTCTTGACTTTATGAAACAACTATATCTATTGTTATTTACATCGGGATTATCTATGACGCAACACTTATTGCTTCGAACAAATTGGTCACAATTTAATGCAATGCTTTTTTTATTGATATTGGGATTAAATCTCTAGAACTGAAATGGCAACGAGGAAACAACTCTTTATTCGTAAACAGTTTTTAATCAATTACGGCAACAAATTCATGCCACGTTGAGATTTCCTGTTTTCCCAACTGTTACAGAAGCATCCAAGTAAATTTCTCGTCGTTCTAATTTTTTTTTATGTGGCTTCCGTCTTTGCACATCCGCACCTGAAGTTCCCCTTCCCATGAGCTGCTCAACTTATTACGATGACGAGTGTCGACGTCGCCGTCGATGCCGACCATGACTCACTTCTTCGCAAGTCCCAGTACGTACGACCGAGTTTCCTCGTCCCGTTGCCGCCAATTACAATCTCGATTCAGGCGGCCACTTTCCTTTCTATCGTAATTTAACTTCCGGGTGCAAGCACGGTCTCTTTACACGACCATACGTCGTTCCAAGTCCTAATCGCATTCGCTGTCTACCTTGATTCGACCTCGTCCCCTCGTTGTATACTTCAATCTCCCCTTTTAGTCTTTCCCCTTGTTGCCCCGCGTCTCTCGAAGTTCCATCGTCGAAATATCGAACGACGAGACTCTCGTGTGGCGTACTCGTATACCTCGTTCTAGCTAACTTATCGCTGTCTTGATAATGTATATCAATTTTTAGTACATGAGCACCTTTATTTTCTCGCCACGTGCTACAAACGTTCGCAGCGTAACACTCGCTCAACACGAGTCACGTTTGACGATGTAGACGTTTTTTTTTTTTTTTTTTAATAAGGAACAGTTTTGAATAAAAGGTTTTTTATTTTTTTCATATTTTTCAAACTATTTCCAGAAACATTTTTATTGCATTATATATTTTTATTCTATTTTAATATATATCTAGATGTCAATTGATAACAATAAATAATTATAAAAATATTCCGCGTACGACTGACTGTGAATGTGTTTCTTCGAAGCAGATAAATAATTGTTTGCGCATTTACGTCCACAGAAAACTTACGCAAGTCGGTGTGATAAAATCATTGTCTTATTTCATCGCTTATCTACACGAAAAATCGTCCTTGCTTATAGTTAGTCTCGATCGCGACATAAGCTGCTTCGATCAATTTTTTTGGATTAGTAAAACGACTAAAGACAGCGAGAAAGAGAAAAAGAGAGAGACGGAAGGAGAAAGAGAGAGAGAAAGAACGAATTTTTATCACGATGTGCAGTTTGCTGAACAAATACGTGAGAAGATATCTTTGCGATATAAGCGCACTTCTCAAAAAAGATAACAATCGGCGTTGTCGCTTTAAATAATGTATTAATCAGAATTAAAAGGTTACCTACGAAATGTCGAGCGGAACATTAATAGCAATTGAGCAACAGTTCCTTTGTCTAAGCAGTCACGAGCACATCGAGTACAGAGGTCGAGGACAATGTCTCCTCTCTCTTTTTCTTTCTCTCTGAATTTATCATTCAGGCTCGACATTTGAGAAAAATTATGTGAACATAAAATTTGTCACAATGTGGACATCAAATTTCTTAATAACGCCGGTATATTGTGTTTAAAAGTCCAATACAAGTACAATTTGTTTAAACGCGTTAACTGTCATCATGGAATTGTTGAAAAAACTTATCATGTCGTTTAAATTATTTTGGTTTTATTTTTTTTGTATAAATAATGTTTGATTTTATTTTCTTTGTATAAATAATGTAGATACATCGACAGATATTATGTTTAACAAAAATATATATGTTATTTTTATTAATTTTAGAGATTTCTGATTTAAATATCAGTGATTTTTTGTGGCATTTAGAATTGTTAGTAGTTATACATTATGTAATATAAGACAAAGTTGTGTTGAATATTTGATGGAGATTTCACAAGATTCTCACACGAACGTGAGAAACGCATTAAGAAATGACATTTTAATTTGTATGAACGTTTGCGAGTTAATTTTAGATTACGTGGCAAATTTTTTTTTCTTCCCATTTACATTAATGTAAATGAGTAATAATTATTATCATTTAATTTAGTGCTAATATGTTTTCAATATATGGCTCTTTCTTCATCACGCGTCGGCAAAATGTTAAATGTCAAATAAACTTGGCGTTAGTGGTTATATAGTAGGTTTCGCATGCGTGCGTGCACACGAATCTTGCACAATCAGTCACAATCAAGATTTTTGTGAAGTTCACTTCGTTTCTGAGAACTTTCAAGAAAGTTGCCAGAATAAAACAGGACTTGTCCAAAATAAACTTTATATACAAATAAATTTGTGTAAATCTTTCGCGTCAATTTTTATTAACTTTAACGATCTGTGTTAAAATTTAAAGAAATTGCGTTAAATATTCCGCTAATCTGTTCACTTTACATCTGTCATGACATTGCTTTTTTTAAAAAAAAGAACACACATTCGAAATTTAATATAATTTAAAAATAGACTACTTTTTCAAACGTGCATGATGATAACTAAAACACACAGGTGCGTTGTTATTATTATGCTAATTTTACACACGGGTAAAAAAACACTGAAGCATCTTAATTGTAATTAAACAATTTTTTAATAGTCACATTATCATACTTGTTACATACGTGATACAATAACCGTACAGGTGGTTGCGGTATTGTGCGGTTTTGTCACTAATAAATGAACGCATGTTTCTTTAATAGTGAGAGTGAAAAAAGCAAGAGTGAAAAAAATTTAAACGAAAGAAAGCATAATGTACACACAGTCTAGTTTCCAGAGAAGACATTTCTCTCACATATGAATATAATTTTACTACATGATAAACTTAAAGTCTTTTATCTAACTGATAAGAAATTTTTCACTGACAGTATATTTGACGTATTAGAAGAAAACGAACGTTCGATAAGGCAAACAAATTAATAACTAGTTTAACGAGACGTCTCGAACTGTTAACTTATTTCATAAATCATCAATTCTCAATTTTACTCGCTGAAGAAACATATTGCTTACCGTGCGCTGCTGCATCCATCGTACGCGGCACTTGACACCGAAGTTTAACTGCAACGTGAGTTTTGTGATCTCCTATTTCTTCCTGCGAGATGTGCTTCTTGTTCAGAACTGTCTTGAAAACACTGTTTCTATATTCACAACTTATGGCTCTACACTCTGTAAATGTTTGTTAAAAAAAAAACTAAGATTCGTAGGAAAAAGTCCATAAGGGTCCAGAATAATAGAAGTATTTTTATTTTTTAGAATTAAAATACTCAGTTCAAGGTTTTTTACACTATGCAGACCTTTTTAAAGTATGAAAGTTGTTGTTTTTTTTTTTTTTTTTTTTTTTTTCCTAAGTTTCGGAACGTGACGTTTGTGCGTCTTAAAAATTATTTTGTAGTTTTTAGAAAACAAAATTCGAAGAATCAGAGGATTCACATTGCGTTGATATTAACTTGACAAACGCGTTTCGTCGTCGAGCGTCGGCCGCACGCGATCGACTTTTTGTTTTCTTACAAACGCGCAAGTAATGTTCGATCGCGATCCCGCGATCGTGCGATCGGGAAAGCGACGACGGTGCGCGCCGACGCTCCGAACGACACTGCGCGCACGCAACAGACTTGTTGCCGATCACTCTTCCCATCATGAAACGATATACGTACTTACCGCCACCATCGGTCGAAAGTTCTCTTCTTATCGTCGTGAATTGCCCGCCAGACTATCTAGATACGTGCGCCGATAGCGCTGAAAAGTAAGTGAAAGAGAAAATCGGATTGACTGAGGATCGCCAGAAATCAAAGGTCGGACATCGGATTGTAAACCAATTAGTTTAGTAAAAAATTGTAACTTGTTATATAATGTAAAAAAACAAACAATTCTAGCGATATTAATTCTCATAGAGACATCAGAACCAGAAATTGGTATCTTCAGATAAGATTGTGATTAGTTTCGAGAACGAAGACATTTAAATATGTGAAAAAAGAGGAGACACACGCTGGAATTTTATCGTAACACGAATAACGGAAGTACGTAGAACCATTGATGGGTTTTTATTCTCTAAGAAAATAATACAAAAATGTATATATGTTGGCATTGAGACTGTTAGAGACGGCATAATTATTCATACATTTCGTCATTCAAGATATAAATCTCGCTGAAGCGTCACTCTTCTGCTCAAAATCGAGTGAACGATATGTTCTGTAGAGTTCGATATGTTCTGTAGAGTTTTTAAATAATTAAGTAACACATAGTATAACAAAAATTAAATATATATATTAGAAATTACATTTTCTCCAATCTTCTCATTTTCTGACACACGCGCTCTTGCTTTCTCTTTCTCATCTTCAATAGCGAGTTTAATAACGACAACATTAATATTACATTTTTTTTTTCTAATATTACATTTAATATTTCGTTTTGCTCCGCACGCAATCTTTTTAAGAACTTTTCTGCGGTAAGCTATAATTTTATAAAATAAAAAACAATTTTTTTTTTATTAAACACGATTTTCGTAATTTTTTTTTTTTTTTTTGCAACAAATACGTCAACCAGTAATATCTCACAAGTTTTTTGTCGAAACAACACAAAAGTGTCTAAATTCGCAATTAGATAAGAGACTAGGTATCCGAATTCGCTCGCTTATATTAAAAGTATGTATATACGAACAGAAATCTCTGCAAAAAACTCAACTGATCCCTGCAAATGTTGCAAACGGGAACATCATTTTGTACGATATTACGTCTTCTAGAAGTCCTTCTTCTTTTCCTTATCAACCACAATGTTGTCATGGTAACTAATTTCTTGACCGGCAACAGCTGGATGCAAATAATGCGGTTCCACATCGATCTTCTCCTTCACGTCCGAGTCGAGCACCAGAGAGTGATGGGGTCCGCGATGAAGATGCGGCTGTTGTTGATGCTGATGTTGATGCTCGTGCTCGTGCTGATGCTGATGGTGATGCTCGTGCTGTACCTCCTCGTCTTCTTGACTATACTTCTTGAGCAATTCCTTCAGCTTTTCCAAATCATTTTCTTCCTTAAACTTGGAAAATAATTCCTTCGTTCCGGATTCGTCCAGTTTCTGCGACTCTTTAAGTTTCTTGAAAAGTTGATGGAAGCGCTCGATGGCCTGCGCTCCGTCTCTCGTTGTGTTCTTCGAAGCGTTCAAGTTAGGATCTAGCAGCAAGTCGGGGGTCTCGTGTGCCGCATTCACATTCTTGTCCAAGTTTTCCTCAGTCAAAGATTGCAATAGAGTGTTGTAATCCGGCTTGATTTTCGACGTTTCCATGCAAGAGCTGCAGGAACAATTCGTAATGATTTGCACCTTCTTCTGCATGGACACTGGTTTGTTCTGTTCGTCTTTGCAATCCAGAGTAACCTGAAAATAATGTGTAATCATTTCTGATAAAAAAAAACAATTATTTAAACAAACCGAAAACATGTATTATTAAATTTATTATTACAACGACCAACAAAATTGTTCGATGTGTTTTTATATTTTGCTAATTAGAATTTGGAAAATTTGTTTATTACAGATAATAGCTTGATATACAAAGTTTCTTATCAACTTTGTAACTTGTAAAGCAGCAAACAGCAAATAAAATCTATTATAAACAAAATAAATATGTGATATGGTTCCAACGTATTATCGTGTTAAAAATTTCCGTTCGTAAAAGTTATTAAATGATAACAAAGAAATGATATCTGGTATTAAGCATGTTTAATCAAAACATGATAACAGCTGTGAGATTATTTTATTATAAAATTGTAGGAAATAAAGTGCAATAACTTGCAATAAAGAAATACTTCGGGCACACTACGAAAAAAGAATGTGGGACAAGAGAAATTAACATATAGTATATTAAACGCGAACGATAAAAAGAATAAAAAACTGAAAAACAAGTTTTTTGAAAACTTCATAATTGAAAGAAAGAAAAAAAGTGAAGAAATTCTGTCGAGGTCTTGTTGAAAATATTCGAAAGATTGTTTCCTTTTTAAAAAGTACATATTTTTGTGTTATTTCTGAAATAATAACAACACAACAAAAGTACATTTATAAAAATTATTTCTCTTAAATAATATATTCGTAAAAAGCATTTCTTTTCATCACTTACAGTATGCCATACGCTGTCCAAAGGTTGACAGGAGTCGCAGTAGGGTCTGATGAGATCACCGGGTGCAGAAGGTTCGCTGTGGGGTACCATGTACGAGAAACAAGCACCAACGCACACATTGTTGTCCAATTCCTGTGAGGAACACTGAGGCCATGTCACTACTTGCTTTATTGGCGTTGTCTTGCACCAACTGTGTTTATCTGGATACAAGACAATATTGTGAACCTGAAAAATAATTTGTTATTTCGCAAGAGATCAATTTTGTGTAGTGCGTATAAAAAATATACAGAATTAAAAAAAATATATAAATAATAGTCTACAAATTTATTTCATTTGCCAAAACTTTTAATAATAATATATTTTAATAAAAATATATTTTTGATAATAAATGTTGTCCGGCAAATTAATGAATGAAAAGTAAACCTTATGTTCGCGATGAGCATCGAGCAGATCAGAATGCATCATTAACAACAACATCGTCGTGGACAGCCGCCATATCGTTCCCATGATTCCTGAAACAGCATCAGGGAAACAGGAGATATCCGAATCTTTCTAATTTAAATGCGAACACGACGAGTAAATCAAAATTAATGATAAACACGAGAGATCGTTAAGAAGCGAACTTGATCACGTTCTGCGAAAGTGTTTTTAGTGTCGAGGAATTATTGTATAGTGGAAATAAAGGAACAAAAAAAAAAAAGAGGTTGCAAAGTAATTTTGAATGCAAATCTTCATCGTTTCTACGATTTAGTGGGAGCCACTGCAATTTTCAACGAACGTGTCTCGGGAATCGTGACCATTTTTCCGAATAAATGATGATCCTTCCCGCGACATCGTCGTACAATAGATCGAGATGACACACTAACTCGACTTTCGAGTTCAACGACCGGTTGGAATTGTGTCACGAGGATTTGCGAGCTCAAAAAATGTTTGTTCTTATTTTCGTTTTCAAGATTTTTGTATCTTGTTTTTCTTACAATATTTACGCATCGATATATGACACAATGTACTCGAAATGTTCGAACATTGATACCTCGAAATGCTCGTGAAGTGGGTATACGAGGATAATTTGAATAAATTATGTTTGCTACCGAGAAGTTAATTAGATGGTTCACGCGCGACCTCCAAGTATCCGTAAAAAGACGCGTCGAAAGTTACAGCCCGCCCGTTTCGGCGCCAACGAAGGAACGGGTTCTCGTTAGGTGATGGCGCGACGCGATTCATTCATAGATCGTTAAGACCCCCGATCCCCCGATCTTCAATGTTGGCATGCTCGAGTTTTTTTAACTCTCGGGAGATATCGAGATAAAGTTAAAGTTCTCCTTGTTGGGGAGAACTCGGAGAGCTTGGCGCACAGACAAGGGGAATTCGTCGTGAATGTTCCCCGCCATAAATAGCGGGGGATTTGAGACGCCGGTCCTGGGAACGCGATGCACTTCTTCCGGCGATGTAAATATTTTTCAAACTGGGGGATGTGTGGCGCCCAAGAGATAAAAGATTGGAGGACGCGTTCCCCATTTAAATGCAACAAGTTAAAAACGACGAAAGATTAGTATTCCGCAAATAAAACGGACTTTGCCGGGCGTAAAAAAAGATGAGAAAAGAGAGCTTGTCCGCAGATCTCGTTATAATTTATAATCTCTTTATATTCTGTACTCGCGAAAATTTCAATGCTTTCCCAAGAGATGCTTTTGCGCGGAAAACAAATTACTATAACCATCGAAGCCACAGAAAGATCAAAATAATACTATATGTAACTCGTAAACAATTAAAATACACAAAAATTAAATACGCAAAATTTTTATTATAAAATATACATGTTGAGATACGTTGGAAATTGATATTTAAAAATAATACGCGTGCTTTTTTATTTTCGAGCGTCTGAAAGTTTCGAGTTTCAAGACAGGTACGCTTGTTATGAGCGTTTCGATGTATCAAGCGTTAAATCTTCCGCGAACCAACCGCAGCGACATCGATACGAATGTCGAACCAGGCGGACGCGGAGTCCAATTACGTGGTCTCCATTGCTTTTTCGGATGCTCCAAAACAAAAAAAAACAAAAAAAAAACGAACTCAATTCCCGCGAGAGACGTTGCATAGATACTACCCGTGCGCCGTCCTTCGAGGGATTCACGTTCTCGTCGGATCCGGGACTCGCGAGGTGAATTCCTGACAACGGCAAGAATCTTGTTCCCGGCCGGACAATTGGTCGCCGGTATTTCCAGAGAGAAGATCGATTTTTCGTCCTCACCGACCACCGTTCCACAATGCATTTCGATCCCGATCCACACTCCCTCGCCTCCCGCCGTTTTGTTCCACTTTCTCCTCGTCTTTTTCCACCTCCTTTTCTTCCTATTCCACCGACTTCTATCTTATTTCTTCGGCTCTGAGAACGCGCTCGCTTCGCGATACAAGATCTTTTTCTTCACTCTCCGCGCAACGCAACCCTTCGTCCTCTATTTTCACAGAATCTCGCCAAGATCTATCGGTTGTTTTTTTTTTTTTTTTTTAATCTAGAGTTCCGAGAATTACAATACAATCGGAATCGCTTTTCGTGAATTTTCGAGATCTCGAGTGATTCGTTGAATATATCGGAAACGATTGAAAGAGAAAACGCGCGACGTCTAAATGCAACAAAGCTACTTTTTCGACGTCCAATTGTTGGAATAGAAGTTCCATCCGTCAAAACGATTGTTGCTAAACGAATTGAGACAAGTGATCGATAACAACGTCGGGATTTTTATCGTTTCGTAAAGATAAATCTCACTTTTGCTCGGATCCTTGTTTACAGAGCGCAACTTGAGATTCTGAAGAAACGTATCATGTTTCAAAAATTAGGTCTCTCGAGTAATTCTTGTTGAATCACCCTGTATGCTTCGAGACCGCGAAGGTGTGGGGCAACACGATGCGGCTTCCCGTCTCATTTCTACGAGCGGAGATTTGAATGACCGAATAGGATACAGCAGGGACGAACTCGAAAGTGTCATTACTTATAAAACGTTGCAACAAAAACGCAACTACAATATTTGGAACAATTAAATAAAATAACACTTAACGATTACTCGTTATGAAAAATTTACGCACTACGCCGATGCGATCGATATTTTCATAGACATTTTTACGACATTTGCGGTCGAGATAATGTCAATCGAGATTATTTCAATTTTAATTTTTTCACACTTATTTTGATTTTTCTCTAAACATATATTATGTTTTTATTTAAGAAACTGATGCAATACTCTGCAATTTTAATTATGTAAACACACAAGTTCAGTTCATAACGGTATTCTATAATTGGATGACAAAAGATAATCTTCTAGTTTTTGTTACACTATAGCACGTTACTTCTCACATTACAACAATTTTCAAGTACGAACTGGTGCAAGTTTAAAGTTTTCCGTGCCGCAGAATAGCTACGGCCCTGCGACGGCCGCAGCCAGAAGTCCAAAGCTCTTTGTTGCTGCGCCACCTTCTCTTCTCGCCTCCGAGTCCGTGTCGGTGGCACGGAGGACCTCCGGCCCACCTCCTTCTTCGCCTTCCATCTCGGTCCCGTGCCTTCGATTTGCTCGTGTCCTCGAGATACCGAGAGAGGATAGGAAGAGAAAGAAAGAAAGAGAGACATCAGCGGTAGGAAGCAGGAGGGCTGCAAAGGGTCGAAGCGAGAGAAGAAAGATGAAGAGAGAAGGTCCTGCGCCCAGCCGCGAGATTAATTTGATTTTCAAGCAAATTTGACGCGCCCCCGAGCCTAGGCGGTACCGGCACAAAGAGCGCCGCGCCTGTCCGCCCATGTGTGTGCGCACCGTCGAAATCTCCGACGGTTTTCCATCGATCCCGGTCGCCGTTAATCCCGCTTCATCTATCGCACGTCGACGGCGAAGCGTCCGACGCGACGGCGCGTCCGTTTTATTAAAAGCGCGATGCGTATCGCAGGCGTTTTAGCGTTGAGCGTTAAATGTTAGATCGTAGATCCAAACTGAAATGTTGTCAAGACAACATAGATAGCTGTCGTACGTGTCGATGACGTCAGCAACAGCGGGGAAGCCGACGCAATTTCTTCGACCGAGTTATTGCGCTCTTACGATCGCACGTAATTTACAATCGGGAAAGGAAACACACAGTCACAATACAAGTGAAACTAATATCGTTTTTTTTTTTTTTTGGATTATTCGTCATTCGTCATTCAAAAATTTACTAATATCGTATTTTTTTGGAATGACGTCATTCTTCCCTTGAAAAGAAAATTATGCAGAAACGGAAGATAAAAGAAAATGTATTTACATTGTTGAAGGTAAAACTCTCTCTCTCTTTACCTTTACGGTATTTTTACAGCGCCGAGAGACGCGCAAAAGGACGGAAGAAAAGAAGCACGAAAAGAAAAAAAACGATCACAAGGAGCATTCTTCAAATATTCTCGTAACGCTTTTTGCGCAAAACGATTTTACCTTTCTTGCGCGCAACTCGATTACCTTCGTCAGCCTTTCCTCGTCAATAACCACAAACGCAAACTGCATTGTATGCGGTCGGACATGCAAGCGGGTTAAAAGGTCGCGCGCGTTTAGCTCGCACACCGACCAACGTCGCGTCGCGCTATTTGTCTCGTGATGAAGCTGTCTCTTCCCCAGTCCGGAGAAAATATTATTCCTGTCTTCGTGGTGCCAGAGCTCCGCGCGCGCGCACCAAATCAGCCTGCGGTCCGTATATAATACCCCGCCGGGGGGAGGAATCCGGTCGTTCCAAAGTTCAATCTCCCGAACTTAATGATCCCGTGCACGGCCGGCCGATCCGAAGATGACGGCGAGTGATATATCCATAATTAGGTGTCTCGGGCTTTAATCTCCCATTGGTTTTAATGAAAATCTCCACCTCCCGTTTTGACATACCCTAATTTCACATTTCGTTGGGACGCCGGCGCGCCCGATGCTTTTTTTTCCCCTCTTTTCTTCCTTCCGCTTTTCTTTTTTTCCCTTCGGGATATCGAAGATACTGCGGGCGAACTAATAGATGGCCCGCGGGTATATACGCGCGGGGTGAGCTTGAAAGATCGGGGAAGAGAGGGGAGTAAGGAAATAAAAGAGGAGTCGAGACCGCGTGAGGGTGCGGATCGCGCGAGGATATACCCGGACAAGAGAAAGAGAAAGCGAGGTAGAACCCAGGGGGCGGAGGGGGGTACGAGAGCGGCGAAGAACCAGGAACGGGCGAGAGCGCGCGAGGGAGACGGACGGCGCCGAAAAAAGGAGTTTGCCAACAGCACCGAAGGATGCCCCGAAAACACGCTGGACGTGTGGCGCCATCTCGACTCCTTTTTTTTTCTCCCTCTTCTTCGTCGTCGCCGTCCCTTCGTGCGTGCGGTTCCTCGTGCTTTTGTTTCTTCGCCCATACTAATTCTTCGCGGGCTGCACGGCGTGCCCGAAACGCGTGTGGAGAACGAACCGGAGCCCCGTGAGAAGGGGACGGGGGGTCGAGTCACAGGCGGAAGAAAGCTTGCACGAGTTTCGCTCAGTTCGTTCATGATGAAGTAACGCGCGTTCAAAACAACCTGATTCCACGTGTTTTGTTTTCTTTCTCGTCGAGAAATATTATACTTTGCACGAAATACCTGAGAGAGACAAAAGGTTTTGCTCCAAATATATCAACATTAAAAATCGCTTTTCTTCTCGATTTTTCTGTCTGTATTTTTTTTAAATTGTCCCAAAGTACTTTTGCGCGCGTGTGCGTTATATATGCGCGAATGCAAAGAGTTTCCTTCTGCTTCGTCGTACTTCGTGCGAGGTTCTAGTTTCACGCTGAATTATGAAAGGAAGAGAGAGAGAGAGAGACGGAAGGAGGTGGTAACGAGGAAGTCCCCCGCGCGTAGCACACGCGACTCGTGTGCGCGACGCTTTAGGGGCCCCCTCGGCGCGATGTGGCGGCCCCCGTGAGCGCGGACCACATACCTGCAAACGAACGCTCTTAAAAGGGAGGGCAGAGCCAAAGAACAGGTCGTTAAAATGTAATGACATTGTTGTTTTTAATGCTCGCCTCTTTAAAACGGGCCCTTTCGTCTTCCTCGAGCCTGTCCGCTACTTCTGGCGCTACCACGCTCCCCCTCCCATCCCCTTTAGATCCGCCCATTCGTCCGGCCAAAACCCCTTTAGCACTCTTTTCCTTTCCTCACTCACATGAAAGACGAGGAGAGACAAATTGCGAATTATCCGTCTTCTTTCTGTCGTTGTTGCTCGAAAGTATCCAGTTACATGCTTCATCGATTCTTCTGCGAAAGCACTTTTCAAGCACATTTTTATGCACAGAAAAATCACCGTGTGAGAGAGGTAAAGAGCAATTCGCAAGAGCGACTCTTTCAATAAAGCTTTATTTCGAAACACAAAAAATTCCGAACGTAATAAATAATGACGCGACGGCGAAGTTTCGCAAGATCAGATTCGAAATTCGGTGCGTTAAAACTTTACAAAAAAAAAATTATCATTTTTTAAATTAAAGTGGCGGAAACAAAAAAGATCTTCGAGTAGATCGGTACGATCGTTACGTGCAAAAATGCTCGATGTGTAAATATACGACAATTACTTGTCAATTTCAGTATATAAAACAATATTTCACTTATAAATGTGAGAAAGAAAAATAAAACTAAATAACGATTTCACATCGAAAGATTCAACAACGGGTTTAGTTTCGTTTCGAGACGCCTAAGACTAGAATGCAAATACGCAAAAGTTCATTTACATATTGATGCATTTCCGTGCGTTTTATTTTCAGAGATATTAAAATAACTCGATAATCTCGACGGAACCGACAGTCGGAATCTCGAAACGTCAATATTCTCACCTTGTCGGACACCTATAAGATCGGCCAATTAAGGATGGACGGTAGCTGGAAGCTGCGCGGACCAATCGCGGACAGTTTCCGTTAGAAAGGGACCGATTACGGGTCCGCTACCGCGCGCAACAGTTTAGCTTGGAACTTAAACTGTTGCGTCTAAGAAGAGCTATCATTAAGTCCGGAATAGGGGTCTCGAGGCATTTAGGATTAGTGGCCGAAACGTTTTGGATAGGGCGCTTCTGTATCGCTCATGTGCGTTCTCCTCGCCCACATCTTGACTGGTTCGGCAGCGGACCGCGATCATCGTAACTCGATCAGCTGGTGTTGGGTTCCTCTCGTTACTCGAAACGAAGGTAATCGCGATAGTTCGCGCGCTCTCGGAGCGTTCATTGGCGAAGTTGAAGAGAAATTCTAGTTTTACATACAAATTTGTCTTCGAAATTGTTCGGAGACAATTTAAAAGTTGCGTAAATCGTAATTGATTTTATCATTTGAAAATATTTTGTGCCTCCCTAAACCGATAACGATAAAAGCAAGCGCCTCAAATCTCCGTGATTCTTCGTTGATTTATTCGAGATTCCGAAGCAATGAGAGTACGTCGATCGCGCCGTGTGTATACGCGCACACGGATGTCGTAGCGAGAGTACGAGTGTACGCGCATGCACATTACGTTCAGATACACACACACACACACACACACGTGAACGCACATGCACACAAAGACGCGCGCGAATGCGTTTCGCATTTCGCAAGAGACAGACGATCTCTCTCGGTGAGACGCGAGTTTCCGAGAGTCAGCGATTTTCGAGCTGTTCTCGACTGGCAACTGGAGCGGACTGTCCCAGCTGTTTTTTTTTTTTTTTTTTTTGAGAGAGAGAGAGAAAGAGAAGCTCGTTCTCGTTACCGCTCGCGATTGAATCGAGCGAGTTGCGAGCTCTCGCAACGACGATCGCGTCGCGACTTGGCGTCGGATTCTTACGCTTCGCGCGATCCGGGGAAGCCTTGGCTTTCCCGCAGAGAGACTGTCACTCACCTCGGTGTGCACGTCACCGTAGCTGTCTCAGCCGCGAACTGCGCACCAACCACGCCGCCGATCTGTCCTCGCGAGATCACGTAAAGCAACAGGTATTCTAGTCACCGCTCTCGGACGGTCAGAAATCTCGCTTCTCTCGCGAGCGGATCGAGAAAATTGCAATCACCTGCGAACTCTACGACCGATGTGGCGAAGAAATGTGCGCGTATCCGCACGAGGGAGTGCAAGCGCGAGAAGAACCTCGACCTCTCGAAGTACTTCGAAGGCTTTTCGATACCGCAAGACTTGAGAGAGCCGAACCGAGCTGAGCTGAGCACGAAACTGTGCTGCCGATCTCTCGTGTTCTGTTCTCCTCTCCTCCTCCCTTCACCCGCCTGCCGCCTCCTCCTTCTTCTTCTTCTTCCTCCACCGCCGGGGTTCTCCTTCAGCTCCTCCTTCTACTCGCGGTGCTTGTTCGGTTCCCGTTCCGCGCGGTGCGCGTTCCCGTTCCGTTTCTCCCTCCTCGTGGATCTCGCGCCTCGACGTCGGCGGCGCGTTCCCCGCAGGTGCGACAGAGCCGAGAGAAAGGACGAAAGGCGATCAGGGCGAACACGCACGAGGAGGGGAGGAGATCAAACTTAGAGCAAGAGAGATCACCAGGGGGGAGGAGGCGGAGGGGGAACTACCACCTCTCTGCAACGCGTCGCGCGTACTGTAAAAAACGTATCGCCCCAGGCGTTACACCGCGAACCAGTAAAACTTGTCGTACGCCAGCGCGCTTTTCGCATCGTCATTGTAGTAGTCGTAAGGACTGGATGAATCCCGCGTGCGATCGTCCGTTCCGGGGCGGAGCGCGAAGGTGACGAAGAGGAGGTTTCGGGAATGGCGAGCCTGAACACCGCGCGGACGCACGCCCGCGACGACGTTAACGAGATCACGAGGGTTGCTGCCGGTCTCTGCCAAGAATTCGGAGCCCGGCAGAGAGCGGCTCTCGATCGTGTCTCCCTCTTTCCTCTTTATTTTGATAACATAGTTTCTCTTGATCTTATCTTTTGTTTACCGATATTCGTTTTACATGATACTTTTAAATGTAAAATATATTTAATTTTTTCCGTTCGAGCTGCAAGTTCTCTTTATAATTTCCGTGTTCTGATTAAACACGAGCGCTCAAAAGAACGTGAAAATTTACATCAGAATTTTGTTTAATGACTAAATAAACGTCACTAGAAGATTATGACACGCGCAATTTTTTTCCCCTCTCTCAAGAGAAACTTTGCGTTACTTTAAAAAGTTTCTTGTTTTTTCTTATTTCACGAATCGTCTTCAGAGCTTCTTGATTCGTTTTATCGCCGGTCCCATGACCTCCTTTACATATCGCTGGAGATCCTCGCACTTCTGCTCCGTGTTCGTATCCTCGGAACTGCCCCAGATGATCAAGCCGTCGGCGCCGAGAGTGGCGATCGTGTTGATTGTGCTCTCTGTGTCTTTCTGCACAGATAAACTCAGAAGATCGATAATCTCGTCAGCACGATGCATCTCTCTCGATGCTTGAAGAGCGTTCTGGTAAGGACTCACCTTCGTGAGAAAATTGTTTCTGCTATCCTGATACTTGAACCAGTAATAGACGAGAACCTGCTGTTTGCGGGGGCTCTTCTCCGCTATTCGCAACGCCTCCGACACTCTGCCCTTCACAAACCCCACCCGATCGTTCTCCTTGATCTGCTGTCTCAAGTACACCGATGGTAGATGCACGTCCTCGAGTGTGAAGAGCCAAGACATTCTGCGGAAATTATTGCTCCTAATTATCTCCCCGGCTTTTAAATTGTCCGGGCCGTTCTTTTTTTTTTTTTTTTTTTTATCGCGTCTCGCGCGATTAGATAACGCGAAATCGCAGGTCTTTTAAAAACGCCCTGTTGTCCTCGACATTGACCTGTTTCGGTATAAAAATAATTTTTAATACGTATATACTCGAGGTAATGTCACTGCCGTAAGTCAACCAGCTAATTAAACAATGTAAATTTTTTATCGTCGGTGACGACGCGACACGCCAACATGACCCCGATACGCGAATATGACGACGATTACGCGATAGATTTTGTACAAATTGTAACGTATACTTTTTTGCCGCACATAAGTCAGTAAAATTATATGCGCGTTATCAGATGTCGAATTATCGATTTGTCGGATGTAAATATATATACGTATATGTTACTCGCCCATCGTTCTCCGTCATGGTCTGACGATTGCATTGCGAGCTAGGTTGACCCGGTGTTTGATTGAAGCAATGCGGATAACCGTAGTAACCCCAAGAAGCTTTGGGCCGAAGTTTCTTCGCCATTTCCAAAGTCTCTTCCATGAATATTCTGCCGTACTTCTCGAAGCGACGCTTTGCTTCTTTCTTAATGGCCGCGTCGTTCCAAGCGGGATGCTTCTCACGTTCCAGGTTTATAGACAGAGTCTTGTACGGTTCGAGAGAGGCCCAATTTTGTCGGAAGATCGGCCGCCAACTCTCGAAGTCTATCACGCCAACTCCGCTGAACGACTCGTCGGGGATTTGCTTGACCAAGTGTTTCCGAAACACCTCGAGATGTTTTTTCAGGTCGCCCTCTTGGGGAACGCCGCCATTTCTTCTCGTTACGGTTCCTGAATCATTCAGAAAAAACCGTATCGACGAAATAATATGGAACTATTATGAAAATGATAAAAAAAAAACCTTCCAAAAATATATCTGGGGATTTAGGACGGTGAGAAAATGTTTCTTTTATAAACATATGTTGGAGATAATTTGGGGTTTGGTAAGAATAATATATATTCGGGATTATTACCGTCTTTGTCAGTCAGCAACGCTGGAAACATTCCGGGATCATAAAGAATTGCGATCACCTCGCCGCGGAATTCATCGTCGGTATTTTGACGAATCCCGAAATCCTTGAGTTCGTCGAATTTCATGCCGTATTTGTGACAGACGAAGCTAGGCACGTTCCAGTAAGCATTGAATTGCTGCGGGTTGCCTGTCTCGGGGGTCGTTGTGCGTGAGCTGAACAGAAACACGAGGTGACTCGCGAGTGGACAATGACACGCACACTAGATAAGATATTTTCGGTCTACCGGATTCACAGACGGTCCCTTTATGCATACACATATATTTGTGAAACTTCTAAGACTAGATTGGCATTGGTTAACATTAATTCAATTACTAGCGTATCAATTTAAAGAGTATCACAATCGCATTTGCTAGGTAATAAATATTTATTAACATATCGATTGTGTGTTCACTACTACGTTTCACTAACGAGCGACAGTTAAAAAACTTGTACTTTGGTTTTTGAACAATTTCGCGAATTTGTCGTAATGTAATGTTTCTCAAACAAAATACCCGAGAAAAAAACCAGTTGTAACGGCCACGAAAACAAAGATCAGAATGTATTGAAGTGACAACATCGTGGCCTGGTCCCAAATTTGATGACAAAATTACGAAGCGGCTTTCTTTGGAAATTCAGCGAAGAGATCAAGCTTCTTGCCAAGCCGACACGACAAACTGACGATCGAACGTCCCAGGTGTCCCGCGCGATATATCGGGACGCCACTAATTAATCAATTGGTAAGGTGGTGCTAAACAATGAGGGTTCGCGCGAGAAACGGGGACCCCCCACATCGACCGGACCCGTTAATGTCCGTTGGTACACTGTAAGTGAGCGACTGAATTCCGCTTGATTTCCAAGCCAGTATTTATTCCGCATGGTACGTCTCGTGTCTTCCCCACCTACTCATGACTCGTCCACGCCTCGCGGTGTTATCTAGGTTCGTGTATTGTTCGATAATTTGTCGTTTCCGCTTTTTGTACACATTTCTCGACATTTGTATTCTTTTTTTTTTTTTTTTTTTTGTTTATTATGCGTGAGAGAGCGCCGCCGTTCTGACGAACGCTTATTGACACTGCTATTAAACGTGACACGAGATCGATACATGCAGTTGGAAGCTTCCTAGATGATGAAACGCGATTTACGTACTCGTGAGAGAAATACACTGCGCTTCGTTGCCGATCTATCTTGCTTATTTCACGAGGAAAAAACTAACTTCATCGTCACTTTAAAGCGATCAGTGTTAACGAGTAGTTAACAAGCATCGCGATCAAACGGCTACTTGCAATTCAGAGGAATTTCATTGCGAGCTTCCTGTAGATGTAAAAAAAAAACTCCTTGTCGTAAGAGCACGTTATAGAAACGTGTCATCCATTTAAACAGTACATTCACGTTCTGCGAAAATAAAATGACGCTCAAACAATGACATTTAAAGAGAGAAAATGACATTTTAATAAATGTTCCTTGGGCGTTTTTATCGATCATATATTGGAGCAAAATATTTTAACACGATAAATAAAAATAAATATCAACGCAAAACTATTATAATTGTAGTTATCATATAGACAAGGCCAAAGCAATTTCGCACATATTGCAGAAACTATAACGGAAACATATTTTCATAAAAAAATCGATAACGTGTCTCTCCTTCCGTTTTTCATAATGTCAACAACATGTTTTATGCAGTATGTAAAACATTATATTTTATGTAGAATAATCGAAAAAATGCTGTTGAAGCATGAAGTAATAAACATTCGGAAAAGAGAATTATTAAGTATAATTTTAGAAAACGTATAGATACTGGATTGCACAACACACATCGAGCATAATAAAAACATCTATGAGATACAATAACTTCGTGCTATAAATATATATATATATAATCACTCTATGCATTAGTTTTCTCATAAGGAAATTATCTCACGTTGTAGATATTACGGCAAACCCCTATTTATTGTGCATATCCCTGACTTAGTTTGCCCGGCTACTATATTAGCTTAAAGGACATCGAGTTTACAAGCATGCTTACAAGTAGATGCGTGTATTCTCGCGCTGCTGTACCTCTTGAAAAGTAAACTGCGCAAACAATCGATGAGAAAAACTGTATTAATTGTCGATTATTACTCAGCAATATTGTTGTAGTAAAGCAAAAACAAAAATAAAGACTCGTCTCCGTCGGCATTGATCGATCGATCGTTCGTTCGTAAAAGTTTATAAACTTGTCGAAGGTTGGTCGTTACCTGGACGTTTGCCTCTCTTCTTATCTGAAAAAGCTAAATGTAAATTTTAACAGTTTAATCGCTACAAGTGTACATCACGAACTTATCTTCCAAGAGACCTTGCGCGTCGTCGTGTTCTAGGTTGCAACGTGACGTTCACTTGCAACGATCACGTTGATGACAAAAAGAATATTTGTTACACAACTATTTTGCCTTGAAATAAGTAAAGTATATGAAAAATAAGGAAATTATTGTAATTTTTTCTTATTATATTCCATAATTAGACGTAAATAAAAACTTTGAAACACATCACGCGGCGACATGGCACATAATTCATGCAATGGAAAATTCATGCATGAATCCAACAGAATACACAAAGAAGTATCAACTTCTGTTGCTTCGTTATAATTGTTGCCTGAATTCCGAAAAAAAACCGAGTATAATCTTGTTTTTATCAGAACTATATATTTTCTTAAACAAGGCTAAGCACGAATATTTTTGAATATTTTTGATACTGTAAACAAATGGTTTCCTTTCGATACTCGTTAGAGACTGGTTTTTTTTCGACGTGCTTCCACTTCTTGCATATCTAATCAAACTAAAAATGAATCCTGTTACATAATAGCAGTTCTACAACCGCTATATGGGTTATCTTGTAGAAAATTATTAGTATAAAACAAATTATTCATGCTACAGGTTTTGGTTAATTTGTGTGCGTACATGTGAGTACGTAAACCTTGTACTCTGAACCAGACATTCTAATTGACATCTTAAAAGCGAATCTCTGACGTCTGACGCGTTGTACTTGATTTTAAAATATTTAAAAAAAATTAATAATAACAAAAAGAAGATTCTTCGGGCTCAGGAGTCTTTAAACTAATGAATGAAATAAATTTTTCGCAATATTTTAAAATTAGTTAGGGGGGTATACGGGGTCCTTCATATATATGTGATGCAAATCCAGCATCCTATATGGAGGAAAAAAATTATTTCGAAGTATATATGTGTATACATATGTATATATTTAAGCACATTCTCTGCACAACATCCTGCAAACGGCTCTTACAACCCAATTTATTTCATTCATTAGTTTAAAGACTCCTGAGCCCGAAGAATCTTCTTCTTGTTATTATTAATTTAAAAGAATATTTTTTGTCGATTCAAACAAATTTGTCGTATTCTTTTTCCACATTATTTATAAATCTCAAATTACAAACAGACATATACGCGAGTTTTTTTTTATTTATCTTTCATTTATATTCTAGACGAATTATACGAACGCAGAAAAACTGCATATGTATATTTAGAGAATCTACGCATCCACGGCAGCCGTCTTGTTCATTGCTGTATTCACGTATCAAAAGAAACGACGTAGCTACAGTGGCTATTACGTTATCCATTGGTTCCGCCATTCTGTTTCAGAACCAATAAAAAGTTTGACGATATTGGCCAGACTCTTATTTCTAGGGACTCTAGGGTACTACAAATTACACGGCAGTTAATCAGCCCTGTCTGTTCTTTCTTTGGCGAGCTTTCAGTCGATTGAGCAACAGTAACGTCTAACCTACGTGCTATGCCCGCACTTTTTAAATTTGTCACCAGCACAAAAATTTCCATTTAACCCTCAGTCATCCTTGCCACGCAAAAACTCTCTAAACCTCCCTATCTCTCAACAAAATTCCCTATCAACTCCTGTCTCCCTCGCATGCAGGTGAACTCCGTTGCGTACGGAGCAAGCTAAGACTCCAATTCGCACAATAGACCAGCTGATAAGTTTTAATGACTATATACCAGAGAGAAAACTGAGAGCGGCCATGCCATTGTTGTTTTTTACGACGGTTTCCAGCCGCTACTTTCAGCGCCGGGTTTCACTTTGCGTGGAACTCGCGAACTACGAAACGAGTTCCACTTTCAGGCGCATACGATACAAATGTATCTCGGTTAGAGTCCGTGCTGGATCCACTTTCATTCATGTCGTTGGACGTCACGCACACGGACACGGTTTCGTTTGGTGCGTGCCTCCATCACCAATGCTCTCGATGCTTGGCAGTTCTACTTATCGACAGTAAAGTGGATGTAGCACGGATTCAAACCGAATGAAAGTGGATCCAGCACGGACTCTAACCGAGATACATTTGTATTGTATGCGCCTGAAAGTGGAACTCGTTTCGTAGTTCGCGAGTTCCACGCAAAGTGGAACCCGGCGCTGAAAGTAGCGGCTGGAAACCGT